AGAGAGAGAAAGACAGTTTGAAATTATTCCGTGATGGAAACTGTTTCCTGTTGGTTCGTTTGTGCTCTGCTCATTTGAGAAACAGTGAGCTTCGCTCTCACAGTGCTCTGACAGAATGGTGTCAACTTGTGTGTGTGTGTGTGTGTGTGCACGCAGGCAGGTACGCACACACACACACACACACACACACACACACACACAGACACACACAGCAGTGAACAGTTTGTGCGGCTGCAAGCTCAAACTCTTCAGCACAGAGCTGTTAATTAGCAGCAGGGCCAAAATTAGCACACAAAAGTGAAGTGTTTGAGGACAGAAATGATTCACCATCAAAGAGTTCCCACTCAACACAGAGATCTGAAGAGAAAAAAACAGCCGGTGATGAATTCTGCAACCATTTGGTTGTTGTGAAATGAAATACCTTTAGCTCCATGTGCTGTACTACTCAAAAAGTGAGTGGTTACAAAATGAACCAGATGCGAGGTGTTTCTGGTCAAAGACAAAGCATCTCTGAAAGATTTCTTCAGATGACACAGCACTTATTACACTTCTCTAAACTGCTTTACAAATAAAAAGCCTACTGAGACAGTACTATGGTACAATGATGCATCAGTTGGTAATATCGCTGATGCATATCATTGCATCACTGATAAAATAATGTCAAGGAAATGTAATCTTTCCTACTACTGTTTTAATGAATCATTCACTTTTTAGAAGTCTGTATGACATAAAACTAGAAATCCCTCACCTGTCCTGGCGATCCACTGACCTTTGATTTGTCTGTCTGTCCCAGTTGGCAAAAATGCCTGGTTTCAAATCTTCAAATAGATACCACTTTATTTGTATAAATGCACAGACATCTGATCTTACAGTGGTAAATTATGATGTGCCACAAGGCTCGGTATTAGGTCCTTTGTTCTTTTTCTTGTTCATGCTCGCTTTGGGTGATTTCATTAGAGCTGGTTGGGATTAATTTTCATTGCCTCGTTATATTTTGAGGAAAAAAGTGTGACATTTGATATATACAAAAGTGACATGAAAAACTACAACACAAATATATTTACTAGCACTAGATTATAAAAACTACAAATGTAAGTGATTCACCCTGTCTCTCGCCTGCCCTGAACCTTTGATCAGTGTTGGGGAAAGTTACTTTTAAAAGTAATGCATTACAATATTGCGTTACTCCATAAAAAAGTAACTAATTATGTTAGTTACTTTTTATGGAAAATAATGTGTTATGTTACTTTTGCGTTACTTTTTAAATCTGGACAGCGCTTGCTTGTTTGTTTTTAAAATAAAAAAGTTATATTTTTGGCAAATATAAAAGCCTTTTCACACCAAAAGTGAAATGAATAAGCCTCAGGCTGAAGGGAAAGTAAATTTGCATCCGTACAGTAGAATGCAGAAGAAGAAATGTCAACACACTTCAGCAATAAAAAAACACACACAAATGTTTGTCTAGAGTAATTTGTGCTTATTAGTACGGTTGAACTGGATCATCGAAGGTCATAAGCAAAGACATTGGTTAATAGAATGGGATTAAATACATAAAGGATATTTGTGTTGTTTAACATTTAATTATTGCAGATATTTAACGCGCATCTTGTCAGTAAAGCCATTCTGTAATCAGCGGTAAATCTCCATCACGTGCGGGCTTTCACATGGAGCAGCATTAATTACACAGAGCCGTTATTCACCGACAAGCTGATCAAAATATGATCGTGGTTTTGCGCAGCTTGTCGGTGAACAACGGCTCTGTGTAGTTAATGCTGCTCCATGTG